CCAAGTAGCTCACCACTAGGGAGTTTGCCACCAAGTGGCTCACCACCAGGGAGCTCCACCATCCTCTTGAGTCACAGGCCACCTGGGAGCAGGTCAAATGACGGAGTACTTAGCCAAAAATTGATACATCACGAAAAAAAAAATTAGTACGTGACCAGAAACGGTTACATCACCTTTTTTTCAATTTGTTTATCATATAAATTATAAAAATTATATATTTATGATCGACTACGTAAATTACTTCATAAATTGTATATGCGATACTTGGAATTAAAAAGCATAGCATGGATTGGTCCACACCACACCTACAGAATGTCATTATGGGTGTGGAATAATCCAATCTAAACAATCTATCCAGAATTCAGAATAGTTGTAAATTGTATTGTGGTATGGACTGATCCCTGTCACTCTGAGTATGGTGCGGACCAGTCCACACCACCCAATTTAATACCCCCTTAATGTCTCGAGGAACATCATCATAACACCAAAGTAATAACCCCTAGAACCTTCACCACACTAAAGGGAGAAAAACAAATTGACAAACAATCGGTGAAAACAAAAATCCTACAAACACTCTAAAATCATACCGTCTTGCTGCACATTAGGAATAAATATTTTCCCATAAACTTAAAATACAAGTATTGAAGATATACCGAAAGTGTGGCTGGATTCCATGTTCTCAAGGTGTTTATACAATTTTTGCCTTCACGGGAAATTATTGTCATTATTTGCAAAGTAAAGCTATTAATTAAATTCTGATCAAACCTCAATATCTGAATTGGTCGGGCATTGATCAAGAGTGCTCCTTTAAACATCAATATCTAACTTATAGATTAATTATTTAATTATATAATTGTACTCTTCTTTTAACAAGAGGAATCAAAGAGGAATTTTGAAACGCATCCTTCTTTAACTGTGAACTTGCATATTTTATGTGAGATAAAGCTAACCTCAAATAAATTGTGAAATAATTAATTGAGTAAATTATAATTATTTTGAGAAAATTATTTAGGGTCCATTTGGTTTGTAGGTGGAATCGGAATTGAAATCCTCCATAATCGAAATTGGAATTGGAATGGTCTATTCCCATATTTTATTTGATTTAGACAAGAATAAGAATGAGAATTGAAATCAACAGGAATGAGATTTTATTCTCAAGAAAAAGCCAGGAAATGACCATTCCCTCAAATTGGAGAATGCCATTCCAGCAGGAATGGAAATAAAATTCTAATTTCATCTAACAAAACAATTGAAATAGGAATAGCCCAATCAGATTCCGATTCCAAATTCTTATTCCTGTAAATCAAACGAGGCCTTAACCTCCCTGTGTTTTCTGTGAAGTATTTCAAACATCCCTTCACATTTTAAATAAATAACGAAATGTACAACTTGAGCTAATTGTCCTGAATTGTGGTTTAAAGTTTTTAAAATTCTATTTTTGGGGTGATTCACTTCGTGGTTCACTTTATCAATCACACCCTATTAGCATGCATAAACATCATGCTCAGGCATCCTAAAGAGTGAGCAACAAGGGCATAGTGGAAATTTCAATATCTCCTTTATAAAATACTTAACCGAAAAAACGAAGTGGGGGTGTGTCTACATAATTGTTTAAAACATTAAGGGGTGTTTTAGTGAAAACCAGTCAAGGTTTAACGTTTAAGTATTTATTAAAAAATACAAGATTTAAGTAATTTTACATTACTATTTGCATTAGTATTTGGTAAACAGATAATTGAAAGGAAGTGGACAGATATAGATTTCTAATACAAAATAAAATGTCATAAAAATGAAAACATGGCGAAGTCAGTATTCTTTCCATACATAAGTGGTAGGGGTGCAAATGGATCGGATCATGATCTGATTCGATCCAAGATCCGATCCTATTTGGTCGAATTCAGATTATATCTGTTTGGATATTTGGATTAGATCAGATCATTTTTTATCCAATTTGAGAAGATCTGATCCGATATATATTATATATTTATAACTATAAATATATATAATACATATATATATATATGTTATTTATTTTTTCATAAATATATTTTTATATTATATTTTTATAAAATTGTTATATTATTTAATTTAAAAAACATATATATATATATATAATGAAAATAATTAAAAATACTTGTATTTTTTATTTTTACTTTATTTAAATTAATATATTTTATTTTATTTTTAATAATTTATTAATTAAAAAAAACAAGTTGGATCGGATCAGATCCAAAAAACTGACTTACCGATAAGATTTGAATTCAAATAGAGTACTATTAGATCCGATCCGATCTGTTTGCATCCCTAATAAGTGGTGTGAGGTCACTGGTTTTTCAAAAATCAGATAAATTGTTTGTTTGGTATCATAGCTATCATGTAAGATGATTTCTGAAAAATCAGCAATGAATTTGTTTGATAGTGATTATCAACACTTTTTTTTTTATGAGAACTTTGTCTTTTATCCACATCGGATGCCACATCATCCAAAAAAATTCAGTACCGGCCTGAAAGGATGAATCATCAAAAATGGTGATTCCTCTTTTACGCCAGATTTTTGTAATTGTTTTCTGATTGCTTTGTCCATTTCTCAAAAATTGACCAACCAAATAGCTGATTTATCAACAATTTTTGAATTGCCAATTTAGCTCTGATCATGTGGAACCAAATTATGAGAAATTGGCATTGATGCCAGACATAACCTAAATATGCATGGCACCTGGTTCTTTCTTAGATCCATATGGAATTAGGTCGAACAAGTCAAGTGCTCAAGGGAATGAAAGACTTAAATAAAGAAACTCAATTCCTTATTAGAAGCATCTCCATCCACAAACAACGGTTGATCATGAAATCTAGTAGGTGAATAAAAATGCCTCAATACCACCGGGTGGAATAAATTTGAGTGTCTATGTTTAACGAATTGGGATTTGCTCCTCACAAAGCTTTATACTAATCTTACAACTATATCCCACCGTATATTAGGAACATCTTCCCATGAATTATAAATACAAATAAGGGAGATGTTTCTGTTGTTCATGATGACATGCTATGAGAACAGTGTGAGGCATGCTCTGTGTGGACCAGATCCGGCTCTCATGTTTAACAACCTAATGGGACAAGTTGACACCTTAGTCCACACAGCTTCTGGTGACTGTCTATCTTTGTGGCGCCTAAGTCTCTAGCACCCCTCCACTCTAACTCCCAAAATTAAAAAAAAAAAAATGTTATTTCTTTCAAAAAAAAAAAAGAAAAAGCTATAATAGACTCAAACCCTCTCACCTTAGTTCTCCTCAAACCCGACCTCCTCCGCTCGCTATCTTATTTTGTTGCTTTTGCGAAGAGGACATACCAAGGTAAAAGTAATCCCATCAGTGTCCTCTCCCTCCATTGTTCTACTTGTGTTGTTTATGTTGTGAATCTCTATAATGTAGGTCGGTTCTACTACATGAATTGTTTTTCTTGTTTCTGGTTCCAAAAATAAATCAAAACCATTTTGTTTGAAAACAAAATATTTCAATAAAAAACACAAGAAACATGTTCTTGATTGTGTATGTATTTTTTGTTTCCAAAATTATAATAAAAAATATATTTTTGAATCTCGTTTCAAAGATATGTTTTCATCTGATTATTCAATATCATGTTTCATAAATCATATAATTTCTATATTAGAGAATTTGTTTTTATTTTAAAAAACAATATTTTGTTGATTCCAAAAACCTATATTGTTTTGTGAAACAAAACCAACTTATTTTTCCTTTTGAAAAGAAAAACAAAGTTAAAAAACATATTTTTGTTTTATTGCTGATGCATCAATTCCAAAGACTAATCAAAACAAAACATTAATATTGTAGAACACCCCAAAAAGACTTAATATAACTTTTCATTACAGTAAGCCAAAAAAGGTTATATAACATGTCCCCAAATGAAAATTCCTGGCTCCTCCGCCACTGTCACCCACTATATGTGGAGATTGCATTTCTTGCGACGTGGCCGCAGGACAGTCCTAACAAATCAGTGTTTAAAAGAAAAAAGAAAAAAGAAAAAAAAAAAAACAAACAAAACAAAACATACTCTGGCGTGGTCACATTTTTCATTGGGGTCGCATGAAGTCCTATATCGCTATATGTGTTTCGAGCAGGAGAAAATTGTAGGGGAGATCTACAATTGGACAATTTAGCTTGGGCCTTGTAATCTCATTAAATGGGCCGTTATATTTTTAATGTGGTGGCTTGGGTCCGATTGGGTTGGGAACCCAATTTGACATTGAGCAGTCCGAGTATAAAACAGCTAGATTTCCTAATCACTTTCTCTTCCCGTGCCCCCCCCCTACCCACAGTACACTGCAGTCGCACATCTCACAACACAACATTGCGATGTATAGCTGCAAATCAAGAAGGGTAGAGTGTGGGTACGTAGAGAGTAGTGGGCAGAAAATCCGATTTGGAATATAAAAGCGTGAGAGGTAATTTAAGGCTATCATTTGATGTGCTCCTAATACGGACCTTACAATCAATCACATGAGAACATCTCCCATGAATACAAGTATGGAAATGTTTCCAATATCCAGCTGAAAGATAGAAAATGTTTCCGATATGCAGCTGAAAGCAGATACATACTGTGGTCCGTGTTTTGTGAGGGCAGATCCGTATTCCATTTTTTTGGGCTACTTTGAGCAATATGAAGTTGCTCTTTGTCTTTGTTGATTCGTCAAAACTCTATCTCCGTTGATGTTGAGACACATCGAGTCAATTTATAAGTTAAATAAATAATTATATGGGAGATCCATGTCGCAGGCTTGACACCACGATATCACTAACCAACTAAATCGTAGATGATTATTAAATTATTATGCTTCTACAAAAATTTAATTATTACAGAAAGAAAGTGAAATCAACTAATAAAAATAGTTATTTGTGTATATAAAAACCCTGCAGATAGAGGCAAGCTAACGGACGGGACGATGTTTTTTTTTCTATAGAATCTAAACTAAGAAACCAATGGCCATGGCGAAGAAGACAGTAGGGAAGTTGGTGAGTACGACAAACGAGGATGATGGACTAGGAGGGGTTGACGATGAGGGAGTGGTGCGTATAGTTGGTCCATTACCGGGTGCTGGAGCTGACGACGGGGAGGGAGTGCAATCATCAGGTGTCTCTGGTGCGGGCGCAGGCGACTTGGGAGTGGCGGGAGTAGAGGGAGGTGGAGAAGAGCTACCGGATGGAGGGGGTGTTGGGGCTGGTGACGGGGAGGGAGTGCAATCATCGGGTGTCTCTGATGTTGGGGCCGGCGATTTGGGAGTGGCTGCTGGAGTAGTGGGAGATGGAGAAATGCTGCCGGATGGAGGAGTGGCGGTACCGGAAGTGTCCGCGACAGTAATAGCTAACTTTTGTCCATTGGCGCAGTGACGGCCGATGGTGCAGATAAAGTAGTGATCGCCTTGAGAGTCTAGAGTGATATTGGCCGGACCGGTTGTGAGAATGGAACCGATCGGACTCTGTGAGGTGCAGGCATCGTATTCTGTCTTGGTCACTTTGGCCACGTCGTGCTCTCCGGTGGGGAAATTGAAAGCTGGAAATTAAGAAAGCTAAATTAGAAAGAAAGAATATTGAAACAGAGTACAGTTCGCGTATATATTGTAATGGAGGGGAGTACAGAGTTTCTTAATATCTTACTTAAAATGTCTCCAACCATGAATTTTATAGATGAAGCCCAGTTTGCGTATGTGGCTGTATCTGATGGAACGGTCCACCCCGTGCTGTTACCCACCACATATGTCGTCTGCGCAGCAGAATACCGTAGCAGAGATGCTACGAGAACGATCAAGAATCCAACCTTACTCATTGAACCCGCCATCTCTCTCAAAATACAAGCAGAGCAGAGTGATCGATGAGGGAGGGAGGTCTCTGGTGTGGATGAGATGCTCGATAACCACGCAGTGCCCACTTATAAAGGCGATGAGAATGAAGGTCTGCTGCTGCCTGCTTCCATGAAGGAGCAGAAATCAACTCCGTTTGGATCGATGATGCAATGCCATTCTCCACAGACTTGGGACCTTGACGTGGTAATAACAAAGAAGCGTAGAGGCAAAGACTCGGCTGACCCAAGTTACCAGAAGTAGCGGAACGTTTCAAATTTCAACGCCGGACCGCGACCGATAAACCGATGTAACGGTTCAAATTTGAGTTCACTTCAGCCCCCATACGCCCCACAACGTCCCACAGCACATCCCAGCCGTGCATTGGGAATATCTCCCGTTGATGCTTTATCATTCCCAATACACGGCTGGGATGTGCTGTGAGACGTTGTGGGGCGCAAAACGACGATTCTTGCTTCTTACCATCTGTTATACAACTACAACATGCCCCACAACTGGGGGTTCGAATCTGACCATGGATCACAAATCAACGATCTGATCTTAGGATTATGGTGATTGGTCAGTCCGTATGAGAACATACGCATAAGTATGCGTGCAGTTAGAGCTCTGGAAGGATCGACGATCCTAAGTAAATAATCAACAGTTCAGGTGTAGGGGTGCAACCGAGCCGTGTCAAGCCGAACTTTGACATTTCTTGGTTCGGCTTGACAGACGTATTATTAGGTTCAAGTTCGATTCAAACTATATTTGTTCGGTTTGAACAGTAAAATATATTTTTATATTCTAATATATATATTAATCAATTCAAGGTCCAAGCCTTCAATACAAACTTTTATCGATCGTACTCAAATAACTAATCAAACTTAACCCAAGGTTTGAATTCGATTAGAATCAAACTCAAATTGGGTCCCTAATTGAATTCAAGCCTAGAATATTAGATTAGAACTCGACTCAGCTCGATTAACTTGTTGACCGGTTCGATTTATTGGTTTTTTTATAAAAAATATATAAATATATAATAAAATACTAGAAATATATATAAAATATTATATTTTAAATAATAAATAATATATTATATATTATAAATATATATTTATATATAATGCATATTTATTCATTTATAATGTATAGAAAATAATATATATATATATATATATAATATAAAAATACTTCAAATATATATAAATATATGTATATTGGTCAGTTCGGTTAACCGCTGGTTTTCTATTTTGGTTAACTGAAACCAAATTAGTACCTTCAAATTTTTAAAATACCGAACCAAAACCAAATCGACCGACTTGGTTAACTGAATTTTCGATTCGGTTTTGATCGGTTTAGTTTTTCAGTATTTCTTGCTCACCCCTACTCACAACACATATCAGGGAACATCTCTCATCCCAATTCACGGTTTTGATGTGGTGCGTAGGTTGTGCTCTGTGCAGAGCCAACACGAATAAAGAGGGTCATAGAGTCATAGGGGGAGTTGAGGAGGTAGATAAGGATGTCAACGGGTTGGGTTCGACATTGGTTTGCCTCAATGCTAACTTGACTATCTAGTGTCCCAACCTGAACCCAACTCGTCTCGTCTCAAAAATACATAATTTCTGAACACGACCCAATCCTATATAGGGTCTAGCCCTATACCAACCCAACCCGATCCAACCATTAGCATTTCAATTGTATTTTTTGATTCTTTTTGAAGACCTAAAATCTATTAATTTAAGTTGTTTTATAGATTGTAAGGTGTCACTTTTTTCTATTGAAAAAAAAATGAAAAAAAATCAAAATCAATATGTAAATAAATCCTAAACTTTAAGGCTATAAAGAATTAGATGAATAAGTTATGAGAATACTTTGTATATATGCAAGTAGACCTGTTCATGGGCCGGGTGGCCCGACGGGCCGGCTTGGCCCGGCCTGGTCCCCGGATGGGCTTGAACAGGTATATAGGCCCGCGGGCTTAACCTCGGGCTAAAAAGCCCGGCCCACAATAAATTCAAGCCGGGCTCGGGATTTGCCAAAATAGCCCGGCCCGAGCCCGAGCCGGCCCGACCTATAAATAAACCTAAAAACCCTAGTTGAATACCCCTCTTTTTTTCACCTCTTTCCCTTCTTTTTCCAACCAAATTTTTCTTCTCGACACCCTCTTTCCCTTATTTATATATATATTTTTAATATAAATAAAATTTGAATTTATATATTTTTTAATGTAAATAAATTCTGATTTATATTGATTATTGAATAAGGAAAATTTCTAATTTTTTTTATTAGGTCGGGCTTTAGGCTTTTTATTAGAGCCGGGCTCGGGCTTGGGCCTAACATATTTCTGTTAATGAAGAGTAAAAGCCCGGCCCGGCCCATGAACAGGTCTATATGCAAGGTATCATGACCCGGTGGGGTGGGTCAGCCAAAACTTGAACCTGATCCTATAGGGTTGGGTCAAGCCAAGTTTACCATTTAACCCGACCCATTGACATCCCTAAAGGTAGATTACTATCGAAATTCCAAACCAGACATGGTTAGTGGATTTGTTTGTTGGCCCACTAAAAAATGCTTCCGAATTGAATTGAGATCTGCTCCTCACATCGACCTAAAAGCAACATTCCACCATGTATTGGGAACATCTCTCTATGAATAATAAATATAAGTAAGGGAGAAGTTCCCAATGTGCGGCAAGACATGATGTGAGGTTCGTGTAAGGAATGCTCTGAAAGTGGGCTAGTCCAAAAATTAGCTACATAGTTGGTTCAGATTGCCTATGTACGGCATATACCAGCACATCCACGGCAAGTTGGAATTCACATTTGCACTCCACAAAGGCGCCCCACAAAGTGCCCTACGGCAATATTTTCTGTACACAGTTGGGATGTGCTATGGGGCACTCGTGGGGCGCAGATATAAATTCGGCAAATTGGACTGTTTCAATGCCCGTCAAACCGGGCTAGTGGAATAATAAGATGTCTCCGTCTTTCCCTTACCATTTATTCCGGCTAGCGTTTGTTTTTGTTTACCTTTCTTTATAACGAAGGTGACAGTGTTGTCACCTAGAGAACCATGTGTTTTTAAGGTCAGTGCAGATTATCCCGGATCCTACACTGCACCTAATGGATGGCCGGTGGTTAACCACTTCATTGCTCCAAATAGAAGAAAATGATAAGGACCCAAGCTGATGTGTTGTATGAATGTTGTTAGGAATGGCAATGGGGTGCGGCTGTGATGGGGAGCCATTCCCTATTCCTCTCCTTACGAAAATTTTTATTCCCGTTCTCATTGAGGACAAGGCTATTTTCATCCTTGTCCTTATAGGGATTTTCATTCCCCTTGATTTTTTATAATGTTTATAATTTTACTTTTTGTTTAAAAATTAAAAATAAAATAATTAAAATCGAGAATGCTCTCCTCATCCCTGTCAACTGGAGGGGATAAGTTACTTAAACAGGATAATTTAAAGTTGAAACTTTGAGCAGAAGAATATCACTTGGAGAAGCTCTAAGACAAGCTAGGCTGAATATGGAGCCCAAATGGGATGGAATCGCCAACACACCGTCTATAAATAGAGCTGAATTTTGCCAAGAATTGTTAAAGCTCGGATTCAGCTCGTTTAACTCAATTCTTCAGGACATAATGGATTAATTAAATATGATTATTTGGGGTGTTTCCATTTTTTTATAAATCAAGAAAACCACCGCTAACTAATATTGTAATTTGCTGTTTAAGAAGAATGGTAATGGCCTAATGGGGCGGCTTCAAATGCAGGGGTCATACTCCCATCCCCACCCCAACTTTTAAGCAACTTCTCCCAACTCCAATCTCCATCGGGATAAAAGTTGATCTCCATTTCCAATCTTTAAAAAGGAGATTGATCATTTCCCATCAGGATCAGGGACTTGAATCCCTAAAATAAATTGTTCCCCACATCCATACCCTGATCTCCTACTAACAAATTGGGGTTGAGGCAGGGCATGGACTTCACACTCCTGTTCTCCTACTAACAAATTGTTCCTGCATCCATACTCACAGTAAACTATTACTGTGTTTTGGGAACATCTTTCTATAAATGAGAAAGGAGATATGCCTGATGGGTTTATGTGGTGTCCTATGGGCATGATGTGGGAACCTGAGCTCTGTATATTGATTCTTATCTATATCCATAATAAATAAAGAGAATTTTATGTTCAATTTTTCGTCAATAATCAAATTTTTATTTCCAATAATGCCTTTTCAATTCATTATATATCTAAACAGCTTGTCTTGGACTTTTTTCCTCTCTCTCTCTCTCTTTATATATATATATATATATATATATATATATATATATATATATATATATATACTAGTTATAAAAGTGAGATTGGGGTCCAAATTTCTGGAATTTTCATTGTCCCTATATCTTGAGTTCTCCTAAGGCTGTGTTTGGTTGCAATGCAAATTTATTTGCACTGATATAAAACCTTGGTAGTGCAAATAATTTTAATGCAAAATTATGACTTATTTTTATTTCAAATCTACAATTATTTTATTTGATTGCAG